GTATGTATATATATGTATATATATATATATATTTATATATATATATGTGTGTATGTTTGTGTGTCTATATCAACTCCGAGAGATGCCTATTACAATCGCACTGCAGTGGTCAAAGGCGTGTGGTTTGCAGATTACATCAGCAACTATTCACCACATCCGTCTGAATCTGTCGCTGTCTCTGAGGGAATATAACTCAGGGTTTAGGGTTTGATTCTCCTGCATATGGTATGGTGTACTCTGTGGTTGTAGTATAGTACAGCTACATGGTCACCTGCTGTGTGTCTGATCGTCTGTGTTGCGTTGCTTGTGCTCACAGGTGTGCCATCACTTGGACAGACGAATCGCAGAAGACGTCGCCTTTGCCAACTCGCGCATTCGAGGTATGTTGATTAGTATAGGGCTTTGGGTTTTCAGTTGGCGCGTATCATGGGCACACGTAACGGGGCCCAGCTGTGTATCTGTCAGCTAGTAAGTAGTGTATAGATCTGAAACGTTTTTAGGGTTTTAGGGTTTAAACCCCCTCAAACCAAGTTTATTCAACACTTGGTGGTTATATGATATAGATTTGGGTTATATGACACTATGCACCACCAATCACCAATCACTAATAATTCAGGTGTCGGTTGTGCCATGGCGTATTTGACGGCTTTTGTCGGGTTTTGGGGTTTGCAACGCAGGTTCTGTGTCGTGCCTTGGGTTTAAGCTCTAGAGTTTAGGGTTAGGATAGGGTTTAGTGGACAGTCGCTCGTCTCGGCTGTCTGTTGTGTAAGAGGCGTAGCACTGGCCCACTGTTCAACGGCACTGCATATCTACCATTGTCATACCCTAAACCCGAAACCCTAAACCCTTTTATGGTTCTTGTTTGGTCAATGCCTTATTCATTCGTACCATATAATATATAGCATTCTTTGTATGTTATATCTACCACCCTTCGCATGATATATACCACCCACTGATACATCTCTGTGTGCTGCTGCAGAGGAGACCATCATGGCTGAAGACATTCTGCATGACATGGGTGCCATCAGTATGATGTCGTCAGACTCACAGGCCATGGGCCGAGTGGGCGAAGTCATCACACGCACATGGCAGACCGCCAGCAAGATGAAACGCCAGCGCGGAAGGTAACGTGTATGTAGGCATGTGCACGTGCAGGTGTATATGAGTTCAAAGATGTGTGCATGGATATATTTATGTATGTGTACATGTGTACATAGATGTATGTATGAATATATATATATATATATATATAAATTATATATATGTATGTATGTACACGTAGATATATACTTCGATGTATGTATATATGCGCACAAGTAGTGGGAATGTATAAATGTGCACTACGTGCACATATATATAGATGCAATGGTTCACGTATGTAGGTACACAGATGTACGCATACACGTTACTACTAAATCTCTATCTCTCTCTCTATATACATAATATAATATATAGATATATATATATATCTCCTCTGATACATCATCCCACTTCTTGTGCACAGACTGCCCGAGGAGACGCATGGCAAGAAGAACGACAATGTGCGCGTTAGAAGATACATCTCCAAGTACACCATCAACCCAGCCATCACACACGGTAGGCATTCTCAGTACAACATCTCACACACTGTGCTGTAGAATTACTTACACACATACCGCTGTAGATTTACCTGCACACACGTACAGCTGTAGATATACCTATCCAGACGCACAGCTGTAGATTTACCTACACACACGCATCTGTAGCCATCCACAGGTTTGTGGGGCTGTGCACTGGTATGACTTGCACTGTCCCTTTAACCGATGCACATAAGTCGTCTGTAGCAACACACACACGTTGGGCTATGGTGCACCATCCACTCATCTTATCCTTCTTCTTACATCATTCACATTGTTATATATGTACTTATCATTCTCCTTACATCATTGACATTGTTACATATGTACTTATCCTTCTCCTGCTGTTCTTGTATGTGTCTTATGGCCATGTAGGGTACTCTCATCTGTTGGGATCGGTTGAGGTGGGCAAGATGGCTGATCTGGTGGTGTGGGACTTCGCTTACTTCGGCACCAAGCCGGACATGGTTCTCAAGGGCGGCGTAAGTGCATATATAAATATAGATATAGATATATAATGTGTGTGTGTGTTTTATTGTTTAGATTCTACTTTGAATGCCTTTGTAAGAGGAATTTTTTATTAATATGAATCAGACATGGAGTTTATGCGTAAGTGGGCTGTGTTGCAAGGTTAAGAGGTTTCTGTTGATTACTCAGGATATATATGTATGTATGTATGTATGTATATATGTATGTATGTATGTATGTACATATATATATATATATATATATATATATGAACTGAGTTTTAGGGTTCTATGGTTTCTTTCTGATATTATTACGCGCTCGCACACTCTCCGATAGTATTACACGTTTGAGCGCGGCTTGCCTCTGTATGCGCATATCGATTGATATTACCAGAGAGAGAGGGGCAATTACCAGAGTGCGTATGTGTACACACACTCTCTCACTACACACTCTCTCACTACACACTCATCTGACTGTGTCGCTCTCATCTCTCTCTCACACACACACACTGTGCAGAGCATTGCGTGGGCACAGATGGGCGACGCCAACGCATCAATTCCCACGCCACAACCTGTCTACATGCGTCCAATGTTTGGTATGTGTGTCTGTGCGTGTGCATGTGTGTGTATGCATGTGTGTGTGCGTGTGAAAGCATGTGTATGCTTGTATGCTTGTGAAAGCATGTGTATGCTTGTGTGCGTGTGTATGTACGTGTATGCTTGTGTGAACCCCATCCTCCCACCCATGCATGTGAATGTGATACCTCCTTGCCCACTCACCCACTCATGTCATCTGTGCTGTTTGCGTTGTCGCAGGTGTTATGGGCGGAGCCACTGCCAAGTCAAACATCACATTTGTGAGTCAGGTAAGCGAATGACGCATGCGCACACCATCGCAACTGAAGTCTTAGGGTTTAGGGTTATATAGCAACTGACGTTCTGTACTTAGCCACATCAGTTGTGGTCGGATTAGCAGTGCATGCCTTATAACCTGCGTATGCCTTATCAGGTTTTAGGGTTCTAGGGTTTGGGTTTAAAGGTTTTGAGTTTTTAAGTTCATCATATTGTCGTCTGCGTATGTGCCCAGAACACATACTGTATGATTTGTATGCTCAATGCCACTGCACTAATTTGTTTGTCGCAGGCGTCTGTGAGTCTGAAGACACTTGAGAAGTATAATCTCACGCGACGCATAGAGCCTGTGCGAAACGTGCGCAACATTGGCAAGAAGGACATGGTACTCAACGACTACGCACCAACCATCCGAGTGGACCCAGAGAACTACAAGTACGTGCCAACAGTACATGGCTACATATATGTGTATATGTGTATATGCATATGTATATGTGTATATATATATATGTGTATGTATATGTGTATATATTAATATGTGTGTGTGTGTTTGTGAAGATGCATGTAGTGTACGCTATTATAAGTGCCTCCATTTATGTTGGATTAAGGATTTAAATGCATGTTGTGTTTGTGCAGAGATTTGTATTTAATTTGCACTCGAAAGCTGTGTAGACATAGCTGGTGCACCTTGCCCTTAAATGGGAGTTGCAGGACAGGCGTGATTGCGATTGCCCCACTTTTGTTTCCATTACATATACCCCCCCCCCTCCCCGTTCTCACACACCCACACACGCACGCACGCACACACCTGGGTCCATTTCGTATGTTCTGTGTTTGTTGCGCTGTAGTCGTACGATGGCTTGGGCTACCCTATTCATCCATTGGTCTCCCCCGTTCTTGTGCGCTCGTCCCCATGTGTGCATGTGCATTCAGTGCACACAAAGGCACATGAGCACCAACCCACACACACGTGCCAGTTGCAGAGGAGTTGTTACCATAGCCTTCTAAATTATACATAGTTGGAGAGGGGTTGTTACAGATAGGATTTCATTGTGGACATGTGAACACACATGTTGTGCAAGTGCTGTGAGTGTTGGCATGTTCTCCTTTATCTCTGACTCTCTGTTGAGCTTCTTTGTCCTATAGTTTCCGTTGCGTTGATTGGTTGATGACCTGAGTGTCTGTTCGTTAAGCTGATTGCTGATTGGTTGATGATCTGAGTGTCTGTTCGTTGAGCTTATTGCTGATTGGTTGATGATCTGAGTATCTGTTTGTGACGCTGATTAATTTGTTCATTTGTTTACTGCTGTGTCGTTGCGCAGAGTCTACATCGACGACAACGAGGAATGGCTCAAGTGCGACCCACTCACCCAAGCGCCTCTGGGTCAGCTGTACTTCATGTCCTAGTGCACTCAGCCACCCCGAGGGACGTGGCAGTGTATCTACTGTGTGCATGCACCTCATCCGCACCCAGAGACTGGCCCCTGTCTGTCTGAGAGGTGTACGTCTAGCAGCCGACATGTCTGTTGGGAGGGTAGTCTCACTGCACTATGCACCGCCATGAGAACAGCCGAAGCGTTGCTCAGTGGAGATACACGGTGTAACACCAGTCATGGCCTCAACGGCACAAGCAGAGCATCCCGTGGCACGCACACTGTCCTGACCATTGGGGTTAGGAGTGTGCGTGCACGCTCTCTAGTTTACAACGTTCCGAAGTCAAGATAAATTCATCATGTTTCGTAGACGATCAATACATTTGTTATTTTGGTATCCCAGCAGACCAATATTACTGCATTCGGGGGGTTTTAGGTAGCGCATCCCGGCCATGAATTCAGCAGACCACTCATTGATTAGTGCAGTATATATATATATATATATATATTATACAAGTAAATATATATATATGTATAAATATATATATATATATATATATGTATATATATTATACATGTAAATATACATATACATATACATATACATATACATATACATATACATATACATACATACACATAATATATATATATATATATTATACATATACATACTCTCACACACACACATATATAAATTTATATATATATTTATATATTTATATATACATGTGTATATATATACATATATATATATATTTATTATATATATATATAGATATATATATATATATATATATTTGTTTCAGTATAAATTGATTGCTTTTGAGCAAGTTCAGAGTTCACCGAGGACTAACCATGAGGAGAATATCAACAGCCTGACTGATTTATATATCTACTATCAAATGTTCACTTCATTTGGTTCATCAACTAGGCACACTTTAACACTCCTAAAATACATATTGCGCCGGGTGTAAATTTAGATTATCTTGAGAAGCACCATATCTCAGTACCAAGGTTCCTTCTGAAAAAAAAATCTTGAGAAGCAGCATACCTTAAATTCTTAGTACCGAGGATTCTTCTGAAAAAAAATCTCGAGAAGCAGCGTACGTTAGACTTTTAGTACCAGGATTTCTTCTGAAAAAGAGCATCTTGAGGATCCGATGTTAGCGTCATTCGCACTGCAGTTGAAATTCTAAGTTTACAAATGGCTGTTGTTTACAGTCGCTTATGAGATGCTCTGGCAGCTCAATCTTTGATCCAGTAAGAATATAAAACATCCGTTTGGCAACTTGGACTTATTGAAGTAGCTGCTCTCTTACCAACCACAACCAGCACATGGCGTTTCACCTAGCTCTGCTCATGATACGAGGAAGCTGTGAGGACAGATGCGAACAGCTGTTGAAGCTGTCACGGTCAATTTTCTCCTGTTTGGCTACCACAGACACGCATGTTTCATACAATGACTTTGAAGTGCAGTGTAAATGTACTGATATCATTTTGCTCGGCCGGTGACATTCTACGCGGTTGTGCGAAAAGGGTGTATACCATATCCGACCATGTAGTCGAAATTGTACTTTGCAACCAGTCGAAGTAAGCTAGAGATTCTCGGTATGTACTTTCACACATAAGTAAGTTCTTGTACACCAGGAGCCAGTGCAGAACTCATTATGTCAAGGACTCGAGAGCCGAGGGCCCAGACAATACCCCCCTACACCTTCCAGCATGTTCTGCTTGTTTTTCAAATAATTTTATAGAGGGGTACTTACGTGGCATAAATGATAAAAGTCGGCTTTCTTTTGTATTCAAAACAAAATTTACCGATTATGTCTGTAGTGAGTATTTTTTAAAAAGCATAGTCTGTAGTCAGTAGTGAGGTAGTTGGTAAACGATGCCGACATTTGGGCAAACGACATGTCATACATGTCGCGGCGACATTTTGTAGGACATGTCGGTCGCGACCTGGTGTCGGCAGGTCTACTGGTGGCTGTATCGTAGCCTACATTCACATATCGAGACGACATGTCATACATGTCGCGACGAAACTTTTCAGGGGTGTATGTCGTTGTCGTATACCAACCCAAGTATTTACCGTAGTCTGTACTCTGTACTCGACTAGAACTGTGGACAAAACCTAACCCAAATATTTATTACTAAATTAGGTAATAATTTGGTGCTTGTTTTACTCTGTATACTGCTCTGCATTGCTATTTATCATACGGGATGTTTTAGGAAATAAATCTTGTTTTCTTTTTAAAACAAAACAAAAAAAGAAAACATATTAAAAATATAGAAGTATGTATTGGCCCGCCCGGCCGCCCTGGATCTCTCACTGACTCACTCTCAGACTCCTCATTACGTTTCCCGTTAAAGCGCAAAAAAACAAAAAAACAAAAAACATTACAAAGCGTTTACGTTCAAAGTTTATCCTGGTGTAGTCCTACATATGGGTTTACAAAAAGGTACTTTTTTTGAGGCGGCCTAACTGTCACGAATTGTCCTATTTTTCACTGTGTCAGTTGTGAATAGTTTCAAATCGGCTTTTCATTTAAAAAAAAAAGTCAATTTCTCAGGTGCAAATTTGAGAAATTTTCATGGTCGATTTGCCCCCCATAGACTTTAAGACGCTTTTTTTATAGATTATTTTTGCGTTTACGTTTAAAGTTATCGCATATAGGCAAAACGTATTGAGCTTAGTCATGGAGTCTTGAACTCTTACTCTCTTGGTCTCATTGTGTCAGACAAAGTCACAAGTATCAACCAAAACAACCAAAAAGATGGTGTCGTTTACCAGAAAATCAGTAATGTAAGACCTGACACAGCCTCCTTGTTCTTTTTTCATAGGCCATGTACCTGAGTACTGACAGTTCACATTAGAGCTAGTAAACGACACTGAAAATTGTCTTTTTGTTTTTTGACCGACATTTTTTGGGGGGGTTTTTTTTGTCATATTGTCATACAATACACCTATTTTGTTTTAGGGTTTATATAAAAATGTCGCGACGACATGTGTGATGTTTCATGTTTGACATTTCTATCACGGTCTGTCCATGACATTCGGCCATAATCTATAATAGTAAATAACCGAATATCTATAATAGCTCTACATACTGGCCTACTGCCCAGGGCCCCAGGCCCGGCCAGGGCTGAAAGGCTTAAGCCTGTCGCTGCAAGTGTAAATAGGACTGAAAAGGGTATAAAAAATATAAAATATCTATTCCTTTTGTTTAAAAAAATACAATTTCTATTAGTTTTTTTACTTTTTACCATATACAGCTATTTATAAATTGCTGAATTGAAGTCGAGAGAGTGCAATCCAAACGTGGTTGAGGGAATTTAACAAATATACTTTTTTTTATAACCAAAAAGAGAATTTCGTGAGAGTTTTTTGAAAAAGGGAAGAAAAAAAATATTTGTGAGGCCATTTCTGATTTTCCTCTAAATATCATGTGGGAAGTGGAAAATCCCATACTGAAGTAATATACTAAATAGAACAGAATTTTATCAAACGATGAGGTTGAGAGAAAACTCAACAATCATAGTCACACGGGTGTGGATATTGTTAATATGCTTTGCCCATTCGCGTAAATACGAGCTCGTCAATACGTTCTATTGAATCACCACATTTTGCATCACTTCACATATTCTATCAATATGAAGATGGAGTCCAGGGTATGGAGTCCAGGGTCGAGCTCGGTAGCAGTGCCAATGTTGATTACGAGATGAAACTAGAGAACACTCATAGACCCGTTTACAAGGTACGTTGTAGCTCACATTTGACTATGCATTTATTTCAATTTGTAGGTGTGATACTATAAATAAGGGCTACTTAGCTGATTATTATTGCACATGCGCCCACTATTTGTATACATTCTATCCATACTTCACATAATCTCTACAGAATATGGGGTTCTTGGTCGCCGTGGGATTAGTAATGGCTGGTTGTATTGCGGCAGCCGTGTCAATCCCGTTTTCTTCAAACAACGGTGTCAACATCGCTGGCGAATCGACTACCCAAACTATGTCTCGCTCCAAGCGACAGGTTACAGAGAAATCAATTACAACCATCAACACTGGATTATTCGGCGCAGTCGCCAATTACGATGAGCGCAGAGGGTTATTTGTCGACGCACTCAGGGACGAGGTATACACTTAAATTTTTCTGTCAGAATGAGCTGTGGTATGGAAAAGACGTCGAGCTCTTGCTATCTGATAAAGAATGGACCACGCGGTATCCGTACGCCTACTTCTTCAACAAAGAGGAAATGAAAATGAGAGAAAACGGCGAGGATGTTCCCAGTCTATGCCCTACTAAAACAATTGGGGCGCTTCTTCAGCTTGTCAACATGGAGAGTTGCAAAGACAAGTTCAACGCGGCCATCGATATGACTGGCAAGGGATATGAAGACCTGGTGGATGATCTATTTACACTTTTGGAATGCTGGGAAGTGGAGGCTCCGGTGATGTTTGATTCCATTTACAATGACAAGTCATGTTATGGATGTCTTATCAACGCTGGATCATCTGGAAATATCAAGAGGATGGCAAACTGTATGAGGGGCAGCACCAAACGCTTGCCTAACGATCAAGCCTTCGAGTCTTTCTTGTACGGTTTGGCCTTGTGGTCTAAGGTACCCCTCACTAACAACGAGGGCAACACCTTGGAATGGGCTGTGGTTCCCCGGGCATATATATCTGCTGAGTACGAAGTGGATGGGGTGAAGGGGGGCATTGTATGTACACATGTCGCTGTCGAGGGCAAAGAACAACAAACACAGTTTGAAACGATTACGAACCATGTCGCAGCACGTGAAGCGGAGGGAGTAACTGAATGGTTGTTGGCAGGTGATTTGAACTGTGGGCCCAAAAGCGCCGCAGTATCGCACAAAACCCTAACACTGATGACACCAATGGAGTTACCTCCTCTGACAAGCTTATTGAGCTAGGTTGATGGGGCATCTACGTGAATCAGGACTTCGAGGCTACGTGGGATATGCCTATGGACGCGGCAAACAATTATTTCGATGGTAACACCAACATCTGTGGCCACAATACTTGTATTGACTGCGAGACACTGGGCAGCAATGATCAGAGAAAGATGTTGCTGGACTATATATATGTGCGTGGTGAAGCTTTTCCCCGCGACGCCGATCGATATGAGGCCAAGATCGTTATGAACAAGAAGTACAATGCCTCTGAAGACTATGAGGGTGTGCATATTTCTGATCACTATGGTGTTCAAGTCATCATGAATCCTTGAGAGCAAGGCAGGGTACATAATATGAATAGAAGTACAATGCCACTAAAAGTATGTCGAGTTTACAAACAGGCTTTACGTACACTTTTTACTGACGTTCAAAAGTCGTTTAAATCACCAAGCTCACCAAGTACCGGATGTGGAAGATCCCTATTAAATTCATGTGCTTATACGGGTATCGAATTTCGCATATATAAAAGACAATGCTTGTATGTCACAAGAAAAAAAGGCATGTACGATACAATCTAGTAGATACACTCCATATACCCTTTAAACTGTGTTGTTTGTGATCTTCTTGTACATTCCGATTAAACAACTTTCTCACATAGTATACATTCCGATATACACAACAATTTATTGTTGCCATCAGAGCCTGAGTGAGAAAAGGAGACCTTGAAATTGCAACCGGGTTCTCCGGATGTGATGTTAAGTGCGGCTATATTGTTACTGTTGCACAAGGTACCATAGGTCTTACCGTACGCAGAGGCAGTGTCCATTGTGAACCGATATGAGTGCTTTAAATCGACACTGTTGTAACAGGTGTTCAAACTTGAAACTCCATGTACATGACTATCTTCGAAAATACAAGCGGGGACTTGGGCTTACGTTTGCTGCATTTGCTCGACCCACTGTAGCACGAATCACATCCAACATCAGCGGTACCACTGGCCACTAACTACCGTTGGGAGGAATTACATCAGCAGTTTTCATAAACAACTATGCAAAAATCCTGAGCCATTGTCGTTCACTATAATGAGAAGCTTGATCGTTCAATTATCGAAGAATGCGAAAAGCACTTGCAAGCGGACATGTCAGAAACAGACCTATTCCCTGAATAGGTTTTAGAGTGACAAGTAACCCTAATTTATCTACTTCTCTATTTGTTGCAAAGACAACTGGTCCAGTTAGAACTTTAATAAAAAGGCAACTTGTGTTATTTTTAGATTTGAAACGTCAGGAAGTCTCTTGCAAGGTGCATTTATTTAACATACTGTACGAGTTCGAGCTAGACTAGATTTGCCATGGTCAAGCTGTTCGCTTACTCTGGTTGCACAGCTAGGGTCACAACTCCCTACCATTGTCCGGAAAGACTTGCCCGATTGCAAATACACGACCATCAGATGAGAGTGTGGCTGGTTAACCTGCACCACCAACTGACGGTCAATGAAAAGATCGGATCATAGCAAGAATATTTCAATAGAAAAGGCAATTTTATTCTGTTCAGTAATAGCATGTTGTACTGACTAGAGTTGGTAGTTGATGTAGTGCGCATCCTGGAGCTGTTGCTAGATCAGTGAGCTGCTTCATCGGGGCACAATTTCCAGATCTCAAGAGGACAAGAACATCTGGTGTGGTTTGTGTCGTATGGAAAGTCAATAGTTTTGCAATTATGTTAAAGGTGAAGTATTTAGTAGGGTCAACCTTATACAACGCTAACGGTTGCTTGCCGAGAATTCGTATCTATATATTTCGGCCGTACTTCGTTCTACGCGAACTAGGTTTCCCAATTTGATATAGAGATCCGGACTGATAGTACGATTCATAGCAACGTAATTGCAGATACCTCATTTTCGTTTCTCGATGCCAGAGACAAAAGTCGTTCTAATAATATTTGCGAGGAGACGGCCAAGAGTAGTCGGTCTATTACTGAAGCGGAGTGACTATGCGAAATTGTAAGTGCGCGAGAGTGGAGATTACAATGACTGCAAATTGCAAGGCTTCAAAGGAGTGTAGGTGAGAAGACTGAGCTGTACTAGGTGAGAAGCTGAGCTGTAGAGTGTAGGTGAGAAGACTGAGCTGTAGTGTGTAGGTGAGAAGACTGGACTGCGGAGTGTGGACTATCGAGTCTTGGGGAATGCTGCCTTAATAACTCATAATTGACAGCTGAGACTGTGTTCTATAAATTGTATAATATTGATAATAGTGTAGTTGAGACGGTGTTGTAATTGTATAATGTTAAATACTAATAGAGTAGAAAATGAGTGTAAAGTAAATATAAATAAATATAGTGGGTATTTATGTGACTCGAGTTTGTTTTGTTTTTTTGGGACATCTCCGACCTCTGTATTTGAGAAAAAAAACAACGAACAAAAGATTCAACCGACTCGTTCAACATAATACATTTATTATTCACAGCAACGCTTGGCCGTCCACTCATTGCCTCAACTTACAGCTCTCATACAGCTCGCCTTCCCCTGAGAGTCACTCACCACAGCCGTCGTCCACTGTCCATGTGTCCCATGACCACACTCCACAGGGCCCGGGCCGCTATGCAGAGTCTGTGCCACTGTTACAGGAGCTGTACGGAATCAGGAGTCAGCACTCGCCCTTCTCAGCCTCACATTAACTGATGTGTAGCTGCATTTCACATTAACGAGTATTGAAGATGAGCCAGGGGAGCGAGGACAATGGGCAAACCGTATTGTAAGTATGTGTAGTTCTGCACGTAACTGTTTAATAAATCTCTTCTCTCGCTGCTCCCATCCAGCTGGTATCATAGTACGGGTAATCGTGCATTTGTGCGTCCATTGAATGCGATGCATTAACTTCACGCGCGTGTCTAATTCCGGAGATAGAGTGCCTCGTGATGGGGGGTATGCACCTTCCGATAACATAACACGGAATTCGGCCGAGCTTCCACAACCTTCAGGTGTTAACATTTGTTTCTTAGACTGAAGTGGGCAGTTGTGATAATACACAGATTTACTATGCACAGATACCTCAGCCAGCGGCAGCGGCAACATACATGCGTTTATTCATACCGGTTGTGGGCAAACAATAGGCGTTGAAACGTCTGTCGGTAAACCAAGGTGAACTCCGGTACACGCTTTACAAAAGCCAACCAACCCACTTGTTGGTCTCCGAGAGAGCCATCGCACGACCACAGTGTCATGAGCTTGCAGCGGCTGCAGGGTCTACCTTGGCCTTCTTGTTCTTGCCGCCCCTTCGCTTGGAGGCCCTGCGCTTCTTTCCCTTGGCAGTGGGTACTGGAGCCGAGACGCTTTGTTCCGTGTTAGCGCATATTGCCCCATCTGTCTCGGCAGAGAGTGTCTTATTCGCCCCATCGCACATGGTCTCCTCACCAGTGCCAGCCCTGGGTTGGCTCTGTCTGTGGTGTGTCGCTGACGTCTCCGTCTTCCCCCCATCGCCCATGTCACTGTCTGCTGCTGCGTCTGCGCCACAGGGTGCCTTCCCCAGTGCTTCCTCGCGTGCTTCTCCTGCGCTCGTTACCCCACCTTCTGCCGTGCTGCCCACCCCATTGCGCACAGGTGCTTCCTCGGTGGTAGTCTCAGTCGCTGCGCTTTCACCCGTGTGCTGCGTGTGCTGTGCATGCTCGGCTGGTGGTGTGGCCACGTGGTCGGGTGGTGTGTGCTGCTTGGCTTCCGTTGGCTCTGCCTTTGTCTCTGTCCCTTCAGTCTGTGCTGCGGGTGGTTGCTGCTGTGCTAGCAGGCGTGCCTTCTTCTTCAGGGTTTTCTTTTGGTTTTTCAGCCGTTTGCGTTCCTTCTCCTCCGCCAACCGCTCGGCCTTCGGCTTCATTGATGACAGCGAATTGGCCTTCTTTTTCTTTCTCGGTTTAAGTTCAGGTTCCTAAAGTGCCAGAAAAAGGGCTTATGAGTCCATCAGACAATACATTACAGATATACAATGGCCCTGTTGCAAAGGTGTGCCCGTAAATGGTCCTGTTGCAAGGTCTGCCCGTATTGCCTGGCCCCAGGGTGTCCCGTGGTAGGTGTTGGCATGTTCATGGTATATACAAGGACAGTAAACTATGACAATCCAACTAAGTCATACACACTCCAGCGATCAGTCTCTGAGATGAAGCATAGTTCGGTACAAGACGGTGCATCGCTGCGCCTTGGGCTCTGAACTGCTGCGACGAACGCCATATGTAGAGAAGGTAGACCACGCCCAGTATTCAATTGCCCATACACTCCACAGAACACTACACCAGACACACATGAGACTACAGGGCAACGGTACACAGACCAAGTGCAGCAATGCCATCACTTAACAGATAGGTACACGTAACTGCCCCTGTGGCCACAAGGCAATACATTCCACATAACACTACACCAGACACACAGGAGACTACAGGGCAACGGTACATAGACCAAGTGCAGCAATGCCATCACTTAACAGATAGGTACACGTGACTGCCCCTGTGGCCACAAGGCAATACACTCCACATAACACTACACCAGACACACAGGAGACTACAGGGCAATGTGTACATAGACCAAGTGCAGCAATCCCACAACTTAACAGATAGGCACACGTGACTGCCCCTGTGACCACAAGGCATCGTCAGCCACCAACAACTACTGCTGCACAGCCTAACGCAACTAGAGAAGCTCTTGCAGCAGGTACCACATACACACACACACCTCTTTCTTCTCCGCTTCGGGGATGATTGAATTCAGAAAGCCCACCTCCGCATCTCTCATTTGGGATTTTTTCTCCGTCACAGCCAATGCCAATCCTTTGGATGCGGGTGACGGCTGCTCGAGAATGGGTGCGTTGTAGTTGATGTACACAATAGGCACTCCTGCGATAGACACAGGCCACCGGGTGATTGTATGAGACGAGGCGTACGATCACGCGCACGGGGTGTGGATGGCCACACCGTTGAATGTGACACTGCCACGTGTTATAGTGTGTGGTCAAGCATACGTCAATAACACATGTATGGCTAGTGAGTAGCAGGCACCATTACAACCCAATCGCAGAACGGGACAGGAACACAAGTCTCTCCGAATGTCAGGTGTGCTGGTGTTGGGATATGCGTGTGTTCGGGTGTTCGACTGACGGCCATGAGCGTCTGTATGTAAACTGCCCATCACATGCGTCATTTAAACTGACAGGTGGATGTTTTGTACACTCACAGTCACCTGTACGCACATGTTATAGGATTATATGTACATTCTGCCTGCATGCTGTCAACGCGTCGAGTGTAGCCCTGCATTTGACAACTACACACAAACAAACGGCGCACACGGTGCAAATACTCAAATATAAAGCACTTCGGCAGACAAAAAATGTACTCCGTCACGGGACACCACATATGCAGTACATATATGCAGTATACCACATAAGCAGTCGTATACCACATATGCAGTATATATATATGTATACATATACATGTATATATATTAATATATATATACATATATGTATATATATATATACAAACATACAAGCAAAGACCCATAAAATATATACATAGGGGTACATTTACATATATACATACACACACATATATATGTATGTATATATATAAATATAAAATATAATCAGGTACAAATAGCCACAAATACGAACACACACATACACACACACACATATATATACTTATATACATACATGTATATATGTATATATATATTATATTTATATGCATATATATATATATTAATGTGTATATATTAATATATATATATTAATATATATATATGTATATATATATATAGTATTATTTTTTATGCATATATATACATATATAAATATATATATATGCACATACACGCATACACATATACAAGCACAAGCAAACAGGCACACACGCGCTTGCGCACGCGAACGCACATACATATACACATTTATATATATATATATACATACATACATACAGACATACAAACATACATACATACATACATATGTACGTACACACATACATACATACATACATACACACCCACACACACATATATATATATATATATAGTAGTCTGTGATCAGTGGTACAATACTCGTTATAACAGATCAACGATACATATGCGTTAATACGGAAGGGGGTGAACGTACCTGGTACTTCTCTCAGAGCTTCCTTCAGTGTAGTGTCCTGTGTGGCTACAATAAGTCTGAATTTATTTTCCTGTCCAATTAGATCCTGCACACACTCTCTGGCGTTCTTTGTTCCGATGGCGTGCCTGCACCGTCGCCATTCGAACTTTTTGTTGATAAGGTGAGCGCCGCTAAACTCTGATCCCAGCTTACGCACCTCTTCAACTATACAGGGCGATGTGAACAAGCTAACTGATCCCCCAAAGTATGTGGTCAGTTGATCCTTGATGTATATTTTACATTCCAATGAGGCTTGACAGAATGTTGCATCTACGAGCACTTGATACGGTTCGTGTAGTCCAAACCGAGACTTGTAGAACGCCAGCGTCCTACGCGCCGCTTTATGTCTGGTGATTTTCATGGTTTAAGGCTGTGGTTAGACCCTCAACGTGACACAAATATGGGAGAGAATATATTCGAAGTGTAATCAGCTGTCTATGTTACTTGCAGTGCAAGAGAAGATATTTATATAATATCTGCCCATGTCTGCTCAATATGACCTACTTATTATGATATATTGATATTAGCGTTACATACACGTGGTTCTTTTAGTTTTTACTTTCCAGTCCCCAGACCCCCCCCTCAGGAAATTCCGGCAAATACAATTCTATTTTTAGTTCGGTCAGAAGAAAAAGCATCGATTGATCAATGAAAAGGAAAAATGCATGAGCAGAAAAAGCTCACCGGAGTAATATTCGGAATTTCTGAACAGAGTTACATATTATTACATCATTCTTCACTTCTCCTTGGAATTGTCGGCAATTAACTGCGTAAGACGTATGTCGCAAGACGTAGTACGTAGGTCATAGATCGTGGGATCTTATGTGTTTGGTCGATAGTGCTTACTTGTACTTTAATAGTACGTGTGTGATTAATATGAATATATGTTTGTGTGTATGATAACAATACATGCAGATGACATGATAGTTGTATATGCGAATCTATCAACCCCGGATGCATGCTTCCTTCCAATAAATATATGCAATCACGTCTGATTATATCGGCAGCCGAACGAAAATAGCAACTTTTACAGCAAGCTGAATTTTGCGGTCCGTAAATAAGCCAATCGCATCCTTATCGGTTGGGTTTGTTGTGGGCGAAGGCGTGCTTGGCCTCTGTTGAGACAATCGATTGCCATCGCATTCAGACTATCAAGTACACAAACGCGGTATACCAACAGGAAGCTTGAATTTGTTCACATCCCTACCTCAGCTGGCACACCATCGTCCTCACGCAGGGGGTTTGTTAGGCAACCATTAATCCGTTGAACTCATTCGCCTGATCCAGAATGACTCATGTGACGTCTGGCTATGCCACAGTAATACTTCCCCCTGAGCTGTGGGTCAGAGTGTTCCAGTTTCTCCCCCAATGGCAACTGTTGCGGATGGCCACGGTGTGTAAGGCGTGGAGTGTCATGGTGCGAGACCCCATGTAGTGGACAGCCTTTGATCGCACTTTCCTGTCCCAATCACTGCAAAGCGCAAACAAGGCCCAGGTACGATATTTTTTGGGTGCATTGACATTGATGTCCTCACGCGTATCTTAGCCGCTGGAATGTTGATACAAATTCTATTTTCTGTGTAGATGTATACTCTTACGGGTTGCTGCGCGAAAATGTACTCTGTGGTGTGCTGGTATAGTTAGAATCTGCTTGAAGAGAATCTTCTGCTGACCTACAGACCTACAGAAAGACACGTAGCCCTTTGTTGAGAGGTGTTAATATTTTCGTAAACCTATTGTGGCACTGATTTCCCCCCTCTCTCCCTCCTTGAACAGTTGCTTGTAGATTAGTGCGCATATTCGCGACAGTCACGTATAGGATTCCCTGGTTCGGTTAGTTCCAGTACAATGAGTACACGCAACTTTCTTAAACTTCTGAGTTCGTATCAATCTACATCGAGGCGTGTTATGCACATCATTAAATCTCGGAGGTCTGTATCACACATTCCACAGCATGGTCCCATCGGGTTAACGAAATATATCGACCTTCTCTCGCACCGGCCGAGATTCAAACGGTTGCGACGCCTTTCGCTGGACCACAATATCCGTCTGGGTGCAGAAGAGTCCCTAAGTTACACACTGCACCAGAAGGTACCTGCAGTATGCGTATTCGCAGGAATGGGCAATCGCGGGTGTTGCTAGTTGTAACGCGTGTGTGTTGCGAGTTGTAAAGTTGTAACGCGCGTGTGTTGCTAGTTGTAATGCGGGTATGTTGTTAGTTGTAGTTGGCTCTACCGCACTATTCAATTGTAAGGTGTAGTGCTCTGCTATGTATGTACCGCACTACTCAATAGTATGGTGTAGTGCTCTGCTAAATATGTCAGGTCCTTGTGGTCTTGTTATGCGTTTGTTGTAGTCTACGTTGGGAGGTCGTTGCGGTCTGTTTGCGCTCGAAAGTTCCGAGCTGAACTTAGGAATGTGCAGTACAGAGATATCTGGCGAAGCATAGTTTGAGTCTGCAATCAGGTCATAGCCCAACAATAGAGTATGGACTGAGAAGGTAGTATCATCCTGGCCTACATAGTCCTCCCGAGAATTGGCCAGAGCTAATTCAGGCTGCCCATGCTCCCACTTTTTACCTACTCAGCTGGTGCGAATGGATACCCACGATTCGAATACAAAACACATGTGCAGGAGACTACTGTGGCGTACATTGCCCAAGCGTGTCCGTATATTGAAACTATCGACCTGACCGGATGCAGCACAAGGTATAGTCTAACGCTTATTTGTTGTGTTGTGTACGTACTACAGCCTGTATGGAAATGGCTCTGAATAGCACCGTGTGGTGTTCAGTGCATGCTATAGAAACCATCGTGCGCACTCTCATATACGAGCGAGTTAGTCCGGGACTGTTATACTACAGCCATTACTATACAATACATCACGCAAGGCTCTACTACACAAAGCCTTCCCTGTCTTCTAGGACGCACACGCCCTCGTACAGTGTGAGGTACACTGCCATAGATACGACCAAGACTCTCGCAATGACTGTGCTCCACTTGGTCTGGGTGTGGCGCATGTGGTGCAATCCACTGGTGGGTCCTACTGTGGGTGTGGGTACCATCGTGGGAGACGACATAGCTTATAGCAACCCACTGGTTTAGTCACATACGAACTACGCGTTTGTAGTTGAGCCTGATGTTTCCGCAGCCGTGGATGTACAGATAGTTCTTCTTCGCGTTTGTACGGCTGAGAAAACCCGTATTTCAATACGTGGAAGTTGATGCGTACGTGGGAGTGTGGGCTGTAGTGCTTCCGTCTGTTTTTGAAGTGTGTCTTTGGGACACCTGATTTGGATGGTCGTAGCTAGCAATTGCAATGACCACTCCACAGCCTTCACGGCGGTATATGATATA